AAGGAAGGAAGGAAGGAAGGAAGGAAGGAAGGAAGGAAGGAAAGAAAGAAAGAAAGAAAGAAAGAAAGAAAGAAAGAAAGAAAAAGAAAGAGAAAGAAAGAAAGAGAGAGAAGGAGAGAGACAGGGAGGGAGGAAGGAAGGAAGGAGGGAAGGAGGGAGGGAAGGAAGGAAGGAGGGAGGGAGGGAGAGAAGGAAGGAAGGGAGGAAGGAAGGAAGGGAAGACAAGAACTAAAGAAAGAAAGAAAGAGAGAGAGAAAGAAAAAAAGAAGGAAAGAAAGAGAAAGAAAGAAAAGAAAAGAAAGAGAGAGGGAGAAAAGAAAAAGAGAAAGAAATTAAGAAATAAAGAAAGAGGAAGGAAGGAAGGAAGGAGAAAAAAAAATTAGGCAAAAATCTGGCTCCAAAAAACAGCATTTTCTTTGTGCAAATATGTGTATATCAAGTAAAAAATAAGAAACTGTATAATAAGTTATTTGCAAATCTGTAAAAGACAGCTCACAACTGCTTACTTTCTAGTTTTCTAGTTTTCACTAGAAATTGAAGTCACAAAGGTTAAAGAATTCTAGTTAATATGTGTTTAAAACTACTAGAAGCATTCGTGGAATCAACTCTATATACAAAGTGCACAAGAAAAATCAAATATATTTTGCATAATTTTCAAAAAAAGGGTGACATATAAAAGATGTATTTTTGTCAAAAAACAGTTATTTTTGTTTTAATTTGGAAGTTATTCAGAATGAATTAATAAAGAATAAAAACTTAATGGAGCTAAAAAACTGGAAAGAGAACAGATGAGAGAATCTGATATAATCAATCTAATTACACTAAATAAACTTATTAGAAGGTTTTAAAAATGAGCCTCGTTATTGAGTAAACTGAAGCAAAACTAGAATTTGGTCTTCTCTATCAAAAGGATAAATTTTTCTGGGAGAAGTGATCTATTCTTTACAAGAGATTGTAAAAGTACTTTTCTATATCTTTTAAGTAATTTTCTTAGGAAACAAAGATTTTATGTCTTGTTAAAATAATTTCCTGTGCCTTGTATTGTCCTTATTTAGTCTTTAATTACTTAAGAAAACTATGTTTTCTCAATATTAAAAGAGGAAATCTATTTATTTACAACTATGTAACTTTTCTGTACTTAGTTCTGAAATTTTTTTGTCACTTTGGGATTTGTCTTAGTTCATTTTGTGCTGCTATAACAGAATACCATAGACTGGGTTATTTATACACAATAGAAGTTTACTTAACCCACATTTCTGAAAGCTAAGAAGTTCAAGATCAAGGATTGAATCTGGTGAGGACCTTTTTGCTATTTTACAACATGGTGGAAGGCATTATATGGCAAAAGAGTGTATATGAGTGAGGGAAGGGGGCCAAAATCATCTTTTATAAGTTTGTCACTCCCATCATAATGAACCTACTTTTGCAAAAACATTAATCTCTTCATCAGGGGAGAGGCCATATGACTTCATTACCTCTTAAAGTTCCCATCTCTCAACACAATTGTACATGAACTATGGGGCACATTCAAACCATAGCAGTATTATTTCATAGTGATCCATGGTTCTATTTTAATAGAGTACTTTAAACCTTTTGACATTTTTTAACAAACTTTTCAAACTTAGATTCTACATTAAGTCTTTTTAACCTGAAACTAACTTTTCGGTGTGCCAGAGGGGTTTCTGAAAGATCTCCAAAGATCTGCTCTCTCTACTTATTAAAAAAAGAGATACTAAACAAATTAGGCTTATTTGATATGTTAAATTATACAGGAAGCACTGTCCAAAATTTGTTGTATAACCTTCTTTGAGTTTTATTTGTATAGATATGTTATTAATTAATATGTGTTCCAGAAACTATATGAAATTCCTAGATATCTGATATGTCCTCGTATGATGATATATGTCACTATTTTCATTACTATGTCAAAATGGTGTATGCAACAGAAAATAACCAAATTTCCTTGTCAATGATAGTTTTTCATCTTAAAGGATATTTATGGAAAAGACGCCGCGAAGTCCTCCGACTACAGGTTTCTAATAAGTTTAAGATCATGCCGACTGGGCACTGTGGCTCACGCCTGTAATACTAGCACTTTGGGAGGCCGAGGCAGGCTGATCATGAAGTCATGAGTTCAAGACCAGAATGGCCAACATGGTGAAACCCTGTCTCTACTAAAAATACAAAAAATAGCTGGGCATAGTGGCAGGCACCTGTAATCCCAGCTACTTGGGAGGCTGAGGCAGGAGAATCACTTGAACCCAGGAGGTGGAGGTTGCAGTGAGCTGAGATAGCATCTCTGCACCCCAGCCCTGGCAACAGAGTGAGACCCCGTCTCCAAAAAAAAAAAAAAAAAGATTATGCCATTGGACTGGGTAAGAATGTCGAGACCTGTAATAAAGAAACTAATGGACTCATAAAATTGCTAGCCCAAGGTAATCAAAACAAGAATTTATTACACAGGACTATATAAAGTGATGAGGATTTTTTAATGACTTTTATATCTATAGCTTACAGTAGTTTGGTAAAATGTAGCTTTGTAAACAGACTTGAAACATTTATCTTTTTCTCTGTATCCAATCCCTTCAGAATTTAGAAACTCTTAGTGACTCTTAATTTTCCTGGCAGTATGTTTGTGAACATGGGTTCAACAGAGAATTTGTTCTCTTTGTAACAGGATACGATTGGAAACATTGATTATATTACCATGGCTTTGACTGAAATGTCATATTTTCAGATATGATAAGACAACTTTAAGAAACTAAGTTGTACTGTATAAGGCAACTGTTCATAAAGCCCTTAGGAAAACTGGTCTGATATCTGACTTAAACAGTTCCCAGTCTTACAGGTGAATAAGGAATATCACTTCCTGGCAGACCCAGAGACCTAAAAGAAATTGGGGGATTTCAAAAGAGGAATTCCCCCAAGTCTCAGTCACGAAGAATAAATTTGATGACAAGTCCTTGCTTTGGCTTTGCTTCCTATTTCCAAGAGGCTTTTAATGTTGCAATTTAAATTTTTTTATTAAAAGTTTCAGCAAAGCAGACTTTTAAAAGACCTATATGGTCAATCACTATTCTTGTTGTACTTATGTCAAAAATTTTTCCAGATTTTATAAAACTTGCCTTATTTGGCAAATAAGTTAGTCTTATTTTAATTATTATTTCTAAAAACAGAGATAATTGTGGGGAGAATTTCTATTTCAATAAAAACTATAACATATCGAATGGAATGTTGAACAGTACCAGGTGAAATTTTTCCTCTTCGTAAACTAGCTTCTGCCATTTTGTGCATTTCATCAATTTCTAATTTTTCTTTCACTTTGTTTTTCTTTCTTTCTTTCTTTTTTGGATGGGGTCTTGCTATATTGACTAGGTTGATCTCAAACTCCTGAACTCAAGTGATCCTCCCACTTCTGCCTCTTGGGTAGCTGGGACTACTGGCATGTGCCACCGCACCCAGCTTTTTCTCTCACCTTTTTGAAGCATTGTAAACTGAAATTGGACCACTCTATACAGACCAGAAAAATCACAACAGCTTATACAGTAACAATCTTCAAGCCTGTTGCCATATGGAACACTCAGACATCACTTTAAGACATCCAAACTAAAGGTACTTCAAACCCAATATTTAGAAATTGTTTTCAACTGATTGCCCCCCGGATTCAAAAATTGGATGGATTTATAATTTCTCCAACCATTATTATTTGTTTTCTTTTGTTTGCCTCAGAAATACCTCTTGTTCTCACTTCATATAGAGACATTAGAGACGTAACTTAGATGGAAGCACTCCTGCAACATCACCTCCTAAAATGAGGCACAGCACCTTAACTGGACTAAAGTATTCTTATTACTAAGAAACTGATTAAATAAGATATTGAAAAATAAACATAAGTGTGTTATTTTCTGCTTGTTTCCATTTATATTTTTTCTCCCTTTGCAGATCTCTTGCTACTCAGCCACTAGCCCAATTCTTCTTTCCGCAGCCACCAAGTCAAGCCTTTAATATGTGAAACATCTAGGAAGTTTCAGACAGGGGAATAAAGGAGTTAAAAATACATCAGTCTGCCGTATTAACTATTTAAGTTAAGGGCACTTAGAAAAAC